TTTTAACAACTATGCAATCAGCCAATAACATGTCAGCAACCCACTGTGTTTAGACTTGGAGGTGTGGTCATGGTGACCTGCTGAAGCTCAAACATCTCTCATGTCTATCCAGTGTGCAGGAGTTCTCTGGGAGGAAATGTCTTGTTGACATCAGAGGTCAGAGGAGGATGGACAGACTGCGTTTAGTGATGTAAAGACAACAGGAACTCAAATAACTACTCTTTTGCATTCTTACAACCAAAGAATGCAGAAGCGCTCAGTTCATCCCTGAACCAGATGAGCTTCTTTCTTTCTTTCTTTTCTTTTTTTTTTTTTGAGCTTCAGCAGAAGAGGAAGAGCAGGAAACGGGGCTATAATCACACAGACTGACCAGAACTGGAGACTCAAATTTTTTTTTTTATGGTTTTCTCATTTGTTTCTTTGTAATTCTTTTTTTTTCTCTTGTTTTAAGTGTTAGGTGTAGAATGATTTGATTTAATAAAAAGAAATCATAGGTAAGCTGGATGTGATATGTCGAGCTGTCATGAAAACAGTAGGAGGACCTCAGTTTATGATTTTTTATGATTGGGGGACTTTTTAAGGGGCCCACACTCACCTTCGTTCTGCCCCTGCACATTATTATAAACTGAACAGGCTCCATCTGTGAGGAGACTGCTGCCGCTCAGAGGGCTGCTGGCCCTTTAAGACTCTTCCGGTCAACAGAAGGATTTTATTTTGTAAATTCCACTAACTAACCAAAGGCTTTTATGCTGACGAGTGCGTAATGGCGGGCAGGGGGTAGGAACGACACTTTTTGAAATGTCCTGATGACTTCTTGTCACTAACATTTGGAAAAGTATGAAATATTTTAAAGTATACGAGTCTTTCTATAAGAACCCAATAGCTTTTACTTTGAAAGTTTGATATCATGGCACCCACCACCTTTTGTGATACTTAATGAAAAGTTTTCATAATTTTTCAAGCAAAAACTTATATTTTCTGGTTTCAGCTCCATTGATGGGACGGTTTCCATTTTTTGACATACTGCTGGCCCTTTAAGACTTCCCCGGTCGCCATGGTGACAACCAGGAAGTAAAACTGATTCTCTTTAGCATGTTAACATCTGCGACTTTCAGCGGTTCATTTGGGCCTTTTCTTCGTCTTTCTGCTGATCTCCAGCGACTGCGAGTCCTCTGAAACACGGACAGGTGAGCCCCGAAGCAGCGGGGCTTGTCCGCTTCGGTTTGTTTTAGCCTGAAATCACCGACAGTGTTCAGCCGTCGGTTAGCTGTGGAGCTTTTAGCCTCCGTGCTAACTGGATCCAGCGGCGGTGCCGTCGCTGTCCGTGGTGCTGACAGAGCGCGCACGTCTGCAGCTGCAGCACTGACAGCTGTCCTCCTGCATTAGACTGCAGGACTATTCCCAGGTTTAGCTTTATTCCTCCCTAAAGTTTGTCCGAGCTGTGCGGTGCGTAAAGAAGCGTTCAGAAACCACAGGTCAGCTGTAGAACAGAAGCGGGAACTCACCTTGTGTGGCAGACAGG